TCTGACAGCAGACAGGAAATTGGAACAGGAGACATTTTCAAGTGTATATTCTTAAAGGTGTAAGAAGGACAAAAGCTAAGCCTTCTAGAAATTTTAAGCGGTCAGCTGTTTTTCAGGAGAAAGATAATCTCTCTGACTTCTTAGCTTACTTACTAGAGGCACTGATAAAGCAGACTTCCCTAGTTCCTGAGTTATCCTGAGACAGATTTGGCTTAAAGACATGTTTATTACCCAGTCAACCCTAATACTGGGAAAAAAGCTACAGAAGATAGACTTTGCTCCAGACAGTCCACTTGATGCTTTAGTAAAAACTACCTCCTTAGTATTCAATAATTGGGACTAGGAGAAAGCCAAAGACAGAAAACAAAGAGCCCAAAAAAGTGTTAAGAGAAATAGACCTTAAGTGTCAATTCTCAGGGCTCCAAGAAGAGCTGGAGGAGTAGGTCACCTGCTATGGCTGCCACCATCAGGGCACCTAAGGGGGACTGCCTTAAGAGCACCCCCCAGCATGCCCTAACTGTAAAAGCTGTCACTGCAGGTGAAATTGCACCCTGAGACAGAGATCCCAGAGCTTAGATTTATCTCCCCAGGTGGTCCAGCAAAGCTAAAGGGCCTTGAGGCACTGCACCTCCTCCCTCTGGTCAGACTGTCACCTCTACTAGTCATCTCCATGGAGGAGCCTGAGTAATCAGAGGAGAGGTTAAAAATCAGTCTATTGCTGGACACTGGCACAAGTCTCTTTGTCCTTCTCAACTCTGTTGTTTCAGGTATCATACCTCAATAAACAGTCAACTTTTTTCCACCCAGTCCTTGTAGTTATGCCTCAAAGTCCAACTCTAATCCTGGAGAGATTTTATACTGTCTAAATACTATAGCATACATACCCAGGTTACTAACTAATCAAAATGATGCTGAGACTGGTTTTTAAAAATACAGTACATAATACAGTACAAAAATACAGTACACGTTGTTCATGTACAAAAATTTAAGTTTTTTCATTGGTCACAATGGTATATTAATCTGGCTCTCATATGTTATCAAAAATTTAGAGATTATATGACAAAATGTCAAAATCCATCAATAAAGAGACCTAAGGGTTAATGGGTTACAATTGCTACCTTTTAGAAACAGTTTCTTAAACTTACTTGTCAGCTCTAATGTTCATGTTTTGCTTATACATGCCTCTGTATATATATTTTGATTATACATGCTTTGATTAAAGTTTGTTCTTGCCTAGAGGGTGCCACACTCCAAGACATCATACAGACGAAGCCAATAATAAATATGCTAGATTCCTTTTACTGGGATTCACCAGATCTTGTCCAGAGAAAAGGTTATATGATATTTGTGTCCTTAATTAACTATACTCAATGGGCCTTAAATGACACCACAGCTGGTCTCTGTCTCTCCTAAATAAAAAAAGTAAAATTAATGAGATAGGTTGTCCTCCAAAATCAGATTAGACATTCTAACAGCAGCACAGGGGGGTACTTGTGCAATTGTAAAAACTAAATACGTTTACATTCTTGATCTTTCTGCCAATATCTCAACAGCTGTTCAAGATATTAGATGACAAAACAATGACATATCCACTCTAAAATTCTCTAAAATTCCCTGGACCTTATCCTTATCTTTCTTATGGGGAGCCATTACGAGCTCCTCTTGGTGGAAATCTTTGTTAACTGTACTCATAATTATCCTAATAATTCTATTATTTGGCCCAGGCATACCTGCTTCTTTGCCTTTATCTCCTCCAGACTGAAAGCTGTATACCTGCCCAAAGTTAAAACACCTGGTGTCTACTGAGGGCCTTTAGATAGAACTTCTGCAGAGTATCCCTGACTCCTGGTCAACAAATACAACCCCCTTTAGCCTAAAGAAGCTACACTGGTCATTGCCCATTACTCCCTCATGGCAGTTTGGGTTACTTCTTCAGAGGCAACAGTTAGAGTTAGATAAAAATATTATAGACAGTTAGACAGGGCTGGGCCCTCAAAGAAGCCAGTGGAAAAGGCCAGATACCTTGCAACTCTGGGGAAGATAGACTCCTTTGCTGTAGGACAGACCTAAAGACAAAACGTAAAATCAAATGTACCTACATAATGCCTATGGATAAACATCAGGAAGTGACATTTGAAGTAGGTCTCTATCATCCTGAGGAATCCAGGAGTCACCACCCCAACCCTCTACAGAAGAGTCACTGTTCTGTATTCATGCTCACCTGCTATGTAACTTGCCTCCCCATTTGTCCCTGATTTAATCATTTTAACTGTATAATTAATCGTATTAGTTGACCATAGTTCTGTCCCACCTCATGCCCACCTTGTGAGTTCCCACGTTTTCCCCTCCTTAGACCTGCCTCACTTTGTGGTTTTATTCTATAAAAGTCTCTAAAAAAGACAAGTTTTTGGCAACCCACTTGGGACCCCTTCTGTCTCTCTCTCAGACAAAAGCTTTCTTTCTCTCAATAAATATATTCTGCTGTTACAAAAAAAAAAAAAAAAAAAAAAAGAATTGCAGAAGAATCCATAAGACTCGTATCTTTTGCTCAAGGAGCATGTTCTCTAACACAGATTGTAAAGTAGGAGCTCAAGTAACCAATACTGTGCAGAAGTCTAGGTGAAATATAAGAAAAGCAGAGGACAAGGAGACCATTTGTATTAAGGCCAAAGGAGGATGCTGAACTGTGGAAGAGAAGCAGGATTTGGATATGCTCAGGTTGGAGGGAAATCTAAATGCACAATCTAGTTGGGAATAAAGAAAATCTCGGTTTGAAACTTAACTGAACCCGGAGAAGAGGCTGTGTGACAGGTCTGGATGGAGAGATCTTACAAGCCAGCTTACCAGGAAAATTAATACCCTAAGGAGTTCGACATGTAAAAGATCTATCTACATTTTCAGAAGAAAAAAAACCCCAAAGTAAAAACTGTATAAATGACACAAATAATAGTAAAAAACCAAACAAAACCCACAATTTTTTGGCTTGTTTTCCTGCTATAGCAGCCTGAGTCATTGTGGGCTGAACAGACTGGTACTTGCTTCTAAAAGAGGCAAAAAAGCTGGAGGGACCCAAGCCCCAAGGAACAAAACACGACGTAAATGCTACAATTAAAATTACATTTTTCATGGAGGGAAATTCCTACACCACCTATATTCATTTTTTAAAAAATCAATTCAAGGAAGAAAATAAATTTTAGATTGATTTAATTCTATATGTAAACATATACTCAATTCCAATCAAATGCCAATCATGCAACTGACAGGAAAACCAAATCTCTGCTTTTAGGCTGAACCATAAAAGCCTGGCAATATGGATATCGAGCACAGCAAAAAAAGGAAGAAAAAGGAAACAATTTCCATGTGCTTCAGCCTAACAATTAACTAAACCGATGACTTAGTCCCTGCTGAGTCAGCTTTCACCTTCAGTCACACACTGGCTGAGGAGAGGTAAGCTGAGATTTATTAAGTATGACAAAGCTATTTACTTGCGAAGCCATGTTGTAATTTACAGGTAGAAAAATGTAGGAGAGAAAGAGAATAAAATAAAAAAAGGAACAGCAGCAAAAAGAATCAAAGAAAAAAGTAAGCAAAAGATGACAGAATAATTTTCCTCAAAACAGGGCCCTAGGGTGATCCGGGGCGCTGGTTCCAACTGGACAGGAGTAGAAGTTCTGGATGGTAACACACGGAGGTCACCACAGGTGACAGGCACACCTCAAATGCTGCCAGAAAAGACTGAAGATTTCATCATAAAAATAATAAATGTTGAGTAAATCTAAACAGCACACTGTATGGAAACACCACAGGGTACCTCTTAGTAAGTACAGTTTTTCGCACATATCAGTTAAATAAAGAAAAGATTTTAGGTATATGGAAAACTGACTTAACTCCCCCCTTGTATGAGTAAACATGCTGCTCAGGTGGTTAAAGTGCTAACACATCTAGAAAATTGTCCTTCCTGGAGTGCCGTTAGGAACTATACCCTTTTTCACTGTATCTGAGCAAGAACAGGAACTCAGGGTGTCACTCTGTGTCTTAGTAGTGAGATCGCTGTGCTCAGCCAAGGGCCTCAGAGCTACCAAGGGATGAGTTGTGACTGAATGCTAGTTCTGATTCTAACGCCTGTGTTTCTCCTACTCATCCTGCTGTCTATGAACTATTCTGCAGGAGCTATTTTTAAAACTGTCAATGCCTGCCATTTTAAATGAGAGATATATGATAAATTATTTTTATCTTGCATGGTCTGTGTTATGGCTAAGCAAAGAAACTTGAGCATAAAAATGATACAATCATTTACATACTGAGCAGCATTATCAATATGTATTCTATCTCAAGCCAAAGCATTGAGGCATAGCAGTGCAAGCCTGTTATCTCAGCTACTCGGAGGCTGAGGCAGGAAGATGGCAATTTTGAAGTTAACCTGGACAACATAGTGAGATCCTATCCTAAAAAAAAAAAAAAAAAGCAGGCTGGGAATGAAATTCAGTGGTAGAGAGCCTGCCTTGCATGCACAAGGCCCTAGATTCAATCCCTGTTATAGCTAAAAAACAAAACCAAAACAAAAACCAAAAAATTCTTTCAAAGATAACCTGAAACTGAATTTACCAAGCATTTAGCCTGGCACAGTGATCCACATCTATAATCCTAGCACTCAAAGAGGCTGACATAAGGATCAAAATTTCAAATTCTATCTGGGCAATTTAGCGAGACCTTGTCTCAAAACAAAAATTAAAAGGGAAAGGGATGTAGCTCAAGGGTACAGTACTTCTGGGTTCAATTCCCAGTACTACAGACGAGTGAGACACAAGCATTTGAGGTGCTGTTGTGTCTCAAGCATTGCGGAGAAAGGTATGTTTAAAGTTTCAGTCCCATAATTACCTGGTTAGAGAGGAAAAGCTGGTGAAGTTTCACCATTAATAGATGGAACTGGAAATAGTCAAATACCCACCATTTTCACATGCACAGCAGACTCTTGATTAATCATTTCTTGGTTATCCAATCTTCTGATTTTCCCAGGTGATATCACACCAAAAGAGAAAAAAGGTACACGTGATATATGTAAAATTCAATTTATGTATGCTAATGATGAACTAAGTCGGTACTTTTGGTATGATTTAAACATTAAGGTATTGCAGGTATCTTTTCTTTTCTAAGCTCAGCAAAGGATTTATCCTATGCAGCAAAGCTCTGGATTGAAAGTACTGTATGAAGAGTTTGAAGCTCCTACATAAGAACTTATAAGGTACAAGAAGATCTGAATAAAGAGTTAAAGTGAACAAAACACATTACTAAACCTTATAGCTTTTTTCTTTTTTGACAATTAGCATCTACAAAGGTGTCTAGATTTCCAACATGGCTCCATTTACATATGAGAATTTTATTAGCTTGAAAAAGAATATGAAAAATTCTACAGCTGATATTTACAAAACTACTACACAATTTTGGAAATACTTGAAAAGTCTAAGAGTAACATAATTCAAGTGGGGAAAGTTAAATATGTTTTAAAATCTGGAAACACAAACTTTTTCTTATATACAGCCAAATGGCACAATTCCTCCCTAGTCTCTATTCCCATGTGTGGCTTTTTCTGGAGCATTCATTTTTAGTTTAAAGAAAAAGATTTATTTGAAATTATTACTTAAAACCAAGGAGTGGAGTGTGTGTGAGATGTTTCACATTTGCAATCCCAACACTTGGGCTCCTGAGAAAGGATTTTACATTTAAAATCAGCCTGGATAATTTACCAAGATCCTGTCTGAAAAACAAAAAAACATCAAACAAACTAAGTGATAATAGGTTGGACATGGTGGCACACACCTGTCAGCTACTCAGAAAGTTCAAGCAGGAGGGTCCCAAGTGTGAGGGCCTCTGGGCAATTCAGCAGGACCTTGTCTCAAAATAAAAAGAGCGGAGGCTGTAGCTCACTGATCCAGTGCTTCCTTGACATGCGGCAGGCCTTGGGGTCAATCCCCAGTACAGACAGAAAACACTGATAAAGGCTTGCTTTTAATAACTGATGGATACTAGACAGATGTAAGCTGAAGAGCTTTCATTCTGCCTAAACTTCACTGGCACCCTCACCAGAATTTATTCTTGTTCAAAGATAATCACATATGAAATAACTGCAGTCTTACACAATTACCTCAGGTCTGTGCCACTACAAAAGTGTAAAGACCAAGGTGTCAGTGTCAGTGTTCCGGCACCATCTGAAGAAAGGCACTGAGAATGAGGGCAGGGTATTTTTAACCAGCAGGCCTGTAAACCTACACCTGGTGTATATAAAGCTCTGGCCGTGCCGGAGTTCATCTGTTGCAGATGCTCCAAGAGAAGAGTTGCTGGAAAAAACACATCAGGTGTAGAAGATGTGTTCAAAAATAGAAGAGGGCTACCCTTGAACTATGAACTCTCTTCAAGGAAGTCTAGACTCTAAATGGAGAATGGAAGTGTGAAAACCAGAAATACTTTGTGTGCTTTCAGTAGCATTAAGGTCCTTATGATAACAGTGTTCGTTACAAGGAATGTGCAGAAGAAGGATACACATGGAGCTTAAGGTGAGTACCTCACTGAAAGAGCAGAAGTTCAGATGAAATTTATAGCTGCAGTATGTCGTTCTGAGATAAGAGTATATAAACTGACTCATGAAAATTGTTGTTTTTACATAAAAAATTTATATTAAGTCTTAAAGTATCTAAATGCAGACTGAATACCTCTAAAGTTCTACTTGACAGTCATGGGAAAGTGAAGATGAAATTTGTTAATACAGCTTTAAGAATTGCAACAGTTTCAATTTGTTACAATCACTAGGAGGTAGTGAAATTTTGAGTGGTAAACTATTCCTTATATAAAAAAAGGCTTGTCTCACAGCAATATGGAAAGGCTATCATCAACAGTACGAACCATATGATAAATTCATTTTTATAGCACTTTTCCAGCTCCCAATACTATCTGTCTTAAGTCTGGATTTTAAAAACTCACTTCCAAGTGTGAGTGGCACAAGGAAAATCAAAACAACAAATTCATTTTTCTCTGTAGGGTTATAATAATTTTCCTCGGATATTTAAATAACTCTCCCTTAATATACTTTTAATTCAGCCATGAAAAAATAAAAAAAACTAGAAAGTGAAACTATCTGTATCTCGATACAGACTTAAAACAAAAATGAAACTGAAGCTCCGTGACATAGGGAGAGGATGTAGAAGAAAAAAAAAACCTGCAAAGCCTGGTTATTTAACAACAGGTGATTTATACCACTTTTATCACATGATAAAATGATTCTGTCAGACTTTTATGGATACTTGTGAAAACAAATTCAGAGCTTGGAGTATATCCACTACCCTCCCAACTCACGGTCAGCCTGGCAGCATCTACACAGATAAGTGAACTAAGGTGTGTGGACATTAACTAGTGGTGACACCTGAGGCTCTGAGTTCTCCCGTCCTTGACTTTGTCCTCCAATAGCAAGGTGGCCACAAACAACCAGCAGTGTAGGGCTTAGACATAAGATCTCCACAACACCAAATAACTGCTTAAAAAGAAATGGTCTGCTGCACAATTCTATTTGTCTGATTTAAAGAAAATGAAATACATTTAAATGTAACAGCAATAAAATGTTCTAGGCTTCTGCTGTAACATATTTGAATCTTCAGGATACTTTTTTTTTTGGGTCAGTGCTGGGGCTTGAACTCAGGACTTCGTTCGTGTTAGGCAAGTGCTCTGACACTGGACTATACCTAAGTCCCGCATGTTTGAGTCTTAATTTTTGATATACCAGTTGTTACGAAGCAATTAAACTTTTATCAATTCATAAAACATAATAGTATAAACCCAGCCTGTACTATCTAGGGCAAGGCTAACAGGCACAAAATAACTAATTTTTATTATCAGTTCAAACAGATTGTTTCTTTTCCTGGTGATGCAAAGCCTGGTGCTTTCAATAAAAACTGAATCATATAGCAACTGAATGAACAACAAAACCAGAACTAAGAAATGTTTTCCTCAGCCTGCAAAGAAATTTCTGGGGGTATTTTGTTTTTGCTTAACTTCTTGTCAAAAAAAAAAAACTCTTTGAAATTACAATACATAAAATATGCTAAGCCTAAGACACCCGAATCTTTTACATATTTGTATGTTTGGAAACTACAAAGAAGTTAGTATACACTAAATTGGATCACTCCAGTTTTATCTTCTAATTTGTGTTTTATAATACCCCAACCTTTAGCAAGATAAAGAATCCAGTAAGAATCACATAAAACACAGAAACAGTAGACACTTACCCCGAGATGGAAACTGGACGAGCTACACCAGCGAAAGAAAATTCTTCCTGTTTGAGAAGCACTAATATAGCCCAAGGTGCACCAGGGGGCGGTTCCAGAAGCCTTGGCAAAGCCCTATGCAAACACAGCCCTGTGACAGGAACCACTGCTCATGCGTCACCGTGCTCCAGTGACAGCCTTGCTAGCTGTGAGCCAGTCCAGCCTACCGAGCACACTGAGTGAGAGGATAGCACAGGCTTTCATGAGAAGGTAAATCTGCCATCAGAACACAAGCAACTAAATCGGCTGAGTGAGGAGGAGCCTCTAGACCAACTCCAGTCACTGTTGCCTATGGTGTTTGAGGCTGGCAAGTGCTTCTCTTCCTTTTTTCCTCTGTCCTTTTGACACAGGCTCTCACTATGCAGTTCAGATTGGCCTTGAACTCACTTTGTAGCCCAGGCTGGCCTTGAACTAGCAGCAATCCTTCTGAGTGCTAGGATTACAGGTGTCACCAGGCCCAGCAGGCACGGTACTTCTGATATGTGCACTTTTCTGTAGAAGTACTGTGTTTCAATACAAAGGAAAAAGACCAGGTTTGGCTGCTGTGTGTGTGTGTGGGGTGACCCACTAGGCTACAGGAAAACACTGTAGCGAGCTGTGGCTCAATAGGGCACAGCTTCGGTTTTGGAAAATAAAGTTCTGAAGAGGTGTGCAGTGGTGATGGTTGCACAAGAGTGTAAATGTACTTAATGCCCCCAAACTGAATGCTTAGAGTTAAAAAGGTATCTTTGATATTATGTCTGTTTTACCTAGGACTAAAAATAAAAGATTAGCTCATTTAAGCACCATGAATAAAGATCTGATGCATGTAGTCAACAGAATGTTAACAGTGTGCCACAGTGCAGGGGGATTTAAAGTGAATTTTATGTTTTCTTTATACTTCCCTATCTATTTTGTGAATGTTAATAACATCACACCATAAAATATGAAACCAGCAGGGCCTGTTGGTGCAGGCCTTTAATCCCAGCTACTCATGAGGCTGAGGCAGAAAGACTAATTCCAGGCTTCCCTGGGCAGCTCAGCAACTCAGGGTTTGTCTAATCAGAATAAACAGTAAAAAGGGCTGCTGGGGACATAGCTCAGGGATGGAGCGTGCCTGGGATTAATAATTACCAGTACTGCCACCACCAAAACCAAAAAACCAAACCAAAAAAACTGACAAAAACTAAGCTAGTCTTTATTTTTGAAGAACTGGAAAAGCTGGAGAGTGTACCAGGTACTTTTAGCTCCAGCTGCTCAGGAGACTGAAGCAAGAGGATAGCTAAACCCATTTTCTGGGCAATAGAACAAGCTACTCATTTCATCAAACAAATAAAAACAATTAGAAAAATGTTTCCTTTTTGAACTATTTTTATTTTTTAAAAGAGAACTAGCCTGTCTTTCAAACTGAGGAGGAAGACAGCGATCATTAATGCGGTGGCAGGACCTGATAGAGTCAGCCATGGGCTCTGCTAAGCTTTATCACTGAGAATTTGTGTAAATAAACTTTGCATCAGCTCTATTAAAAAACTGAACCCAGGCAGTATTTTAGTCACCAAATTGTGAAGTAATATTCTCCAGTAAGAACAACACAAAAATTCTTAAACTTTATTGCTTGAGCTGGCCTTGAACTCCTGAACTCAAGTGATCTTTCCTCCTCAGTCTCCCAAGAAGCTGGGATATTAAGTATGTGCCTGGCTTTTTAAAAAGATCACTGAAATGTTTCCTGAATTTGATATTTACTAAATGTGGAAACGTGTGGCACTATGTTAATAATATGAGAAGACTGTGATAAAGCATTCCCTCAGAGGAAAATCTCATACCTAATGAGTAATGAGGGCTTACAACAGCAAAGGTACTCCATTTTGGAAATATTTCTATATTACTTATGAAAATGCTGACTTAACTGTCCTAAATCACCATCAACAACCAAGGATGTTGGAATTATACTTTCATGGCCTTCTTAAAGCGCTTTTTGGAAACCCTTTGACATACTAATTTTGTGCCTACCAACTTATTCTATGGAAATAAGCCAGCACACACAGATCTAATTGCAAGGATTTATGCTGTAGATGTTGTGTAATATTGTATACTGCACATAACCTAAATGCTAATACCTAAAGACTCATTAATTCAGGAGAGGTAGGGGCAGGAGATGAAGCTCAACGGTAGAGGGTTTGTCCTGCATGCATAAGGCCCCAGTTTTGAACCCTCACTGTAAAAAATACCACAAAACAAAACCAAAATGAGAGGTAAATAAACTATGATAGAACACATAAAAAACAGAGAACTGTTATTATATAAATACTTTTAATTTATACAATTCTAAGCATTTGACACTCCTTTTCCCATGTAAATCTGTAATATCTGTAATATCTGTTAGGTGTATGTTCTTATTATGTGCACTTTACAGGTGAGTAAAATGAAGGTGTCTAGCTGGTGAGTGGCAGAAATCGATTCATAAACAGCTCCTTCTGACGCCAGACTGTGCCTGTGAATTACTGGATAGTACTAGCTGTGACCATGGTCACGGTCTGTCATCCTCTGCTAAATGTGAGCTGCTGGGGCAGCTACAGTGAGAGTTCCGCGGGGCAGGAGACATATCCAGGTAAGAAGAGGAAGGCAGGCTCCATGTGATGGCATCAGTGACAGGATTAAAAGGTCAGTTTTATAAAACAAACTATTTTCTTGGGAAATAAGATGGTGTTAAAAATGTCAGAGTAGGGGCACTCATCTGTCCATAATCAGAAAAGTTGGAAAGCCAGTCAAATAAAACAGAGAAGAATGAAAGAAAAAAAGCTAGTAAACCCTATATGGCCATAGGTATCTGCAACAGGATTGGGACAGTAAGGGTTCTGCTGGCTTGCTGTACTGCCCAGCAGCACGTGACGGCAGGGAAGGTCGCTGGCAGGTGTGTTCAAGGCTGGTGTCTGCTGGTACTGGTGGCTAAGGGCGGTGGCTCAGCCTTGTTGGCTCTCCCTGCCTGTTAGTCTCACGCCAAGGAAAACAAAGACAGGGAAACGTCATCCTTCTAACCCTCCCGGTCACGGTGCGCATGCTGTGGGCATGGGCTCTGGGGGACTTACACTGACGAGGTGCTTGATGTTTACGGCCACTTTCCAGTCTCCCCAAGCCCTGGGAGCACCCCACGGCCAGCAGACGCTTAAAAGAGAACAATCCATACCCTCCTTTCCTATATAAGGAATCTTAAATATGGAGAAGTTAAATCACATGTTAGGTGACTTACAGAAGCTTTAATA